TCTATGGTGAGTCACACAGTTACTAGTCTTGCTGCACACCCACCCAACTGGGCGGCAACTTTACAGTCATGTGCATGCATTACCTACAGTAAACAAATTTTGGATACTTCGCTAAGATTTCGGGCAGCACATCATTATGAATGAAGTTCTTACACATTTCTTGGACACTATTGATGGTGTTATCTCTAAATTCCGCGATTTTTTCACATTCCATTATATAATGACGCAAAGTATGCGAATAGTTTTGCTGACAGAGTTTACATTTAGTCAAATCTACATCAGCAAATGATACAAATTCCCAGAGGTACTTGTAGCCGAACCTAAGCCTAGCAGTGGAAGAAGCTGGAAAATGCGACCTTGGCTTGCAGACGGGCTGACTGCTGAGACCTGGCAACTGGTCATCTTAGGGGGTATATAAGTCAATGTGAATTATTGCTCCACACACACTCAGCCAAGTAGTCGGTTATCCAGCCTCACTATCTCTTCCTTAAGGTACAGTAGCAATACTTAGTAATATTAGTAGTTCTATTACATCAATATAGTTCTTCTTGAATTATACCTAATATTTCAAGAAATAACTCAAAAGACAATTAGTTTAAGAAACGTCGGTATTTATATGAATGTTTATTTTGCAGTGATCTATCAGCCCAGTGCATCAACCCAAGATGAACTTCCTCCGTGCCTTGGTAGTGCTCCTGGTCGTGGTGGTCTCCCTGGCCACGGTCACCAACGCTAGTCCATTATTTGGTCTTTTTGGTGGTCGTCGAGGTCGAGGTGGTCGTTCACGCTCTAGGTCTTCCGGTGTCGGAACCCGGGAGGTCCCAGACCCCTACGCCTACGCCGCCCCACAATTCGCCGGTGCCTTCCCTGTATTCCCCAACTTCGTCACTGGAGTTGGTCGTTGAGACATTCTTGAGAACATCGTGTTTCTCTACGATGTACCAACTGCATAAGTCACTGTGCCGTACGGTGTTCTCTTGACTGAGACTCCGACGAGGCATTAAGGCGCCAACCAGGCCATCTTAGGCCGCCACTACATGGCACCTGGTCTAGGGGTACCTAGGCCTCCACATGCTTCACCCTGGTGAGTGTGAGTTCCAGATGGCCCCACATACCTCATCAACCTGATGAGTGTCAGTGAGTGCCAAATGGCTCCGTTTATGGAGGTACTACACCCCGAGACCAACCTTCCCCACAGGCCGGAAGAGTTGCAGAGTCGAGAGAAAAATCTTCAGATTGTCTCCTGACTGGTGACGAAATCCGACAAATTTTGGCTGTTTATTGAGTTTAGTCACGAGACGAGAGAAGTCGCCCAGTGCGAGTCTTTTGTGTGGCTCATCATCATGTGTGTTTCTGAGAGTGTTTTGCTGCGAGTAGACCCAAGTCTGGCTCCCAGCTGACAGTTCACAGCTGCGAGTAGACCCAAGTCTGGCTCCCAGCTGACAGTTCACAGCTGCGAGTAGACCCAAGTCTGGCTCCCAGCTGACAGTTCACAGCTGCGAGTAGACCCAAGTCTGGCTCCAAGCTGACAGTTCACAGCTGCGAGTAGACCCAAGTCTGGCTCCCAGCTGACAGTGCAGAGCTGTGACCGGACATACGTCTGGCTTCCAGCTGGCTCCTTCAAGCAATGCTTGAAATTTACTTTTATCTGTGATAATTACTTTTCTAATAACATAGAATAATAAGTTAGGCTTTGCTGTTAATAAGAAATAACACTTAATCTTGTAATCTAAATCTTGCAAATGTATAATAAATATTTTTGTACACAAATCACAAATCCCATTTTATATTTATCCTTCATAAGACCACAATAGCTAGGGATATATATACAAAGAACGGTATACCCCATTACTCGTGTCGAGTATATACCCCATTAGCAGTGTCGAGTATATACCCCATTAGCAGTGTCAAGTATATACCCCATTAGCAGTGTCGAGTATATACCCCATTACAGTGTAGAGTATATACCCCATTAGCAGTGTCGAGTATATACACTGAGAGTTTACTTTAGTTCTGCTCCATGTCTAGGACAAAAGGTATGCGTGTTGGTGGCCGTAATAACCTTCCAGATGACAGAATGACCTAAAGCCCAACTCCAATCCAATCCACCATTGACCTTACAGGTCGAGCGCCAAATGGCTGACAGAATTTACCAAGAATGAAAGTATGTGAGCAATGTCACATACAGCTGAGTTGGGAAACAAACGAGGGTGGTATGGATGCTGTTCGTCACGCACAAACAGTCAGGTTTGACGCACAAACCTGTCACGCACTTGTGACGCACCTGTGACTGGCATAATAGTTGGTGGCCAGACACAGCTGGGTCTGGCCACCAACTCTTGGGTGGCCGTACCAGCTAGACACTCGCGCCATTTTCACAGAGGGATCTCAGCAAGCCATTAAAGTTCTTTCTGTCTTTAACAGTGTATGGAATATAGACCCACCAGTGCTTGAGGAAGGTGAGATGGGCAGACACACCCGTGCTTGAGGAAGGTGGGATGGGCAGACACCCCAGTGCTTGAGGAAGGTGGGATGGGCAGACACAACAGTGCTTGAGAAAGATTGGATGTGCAGACACCCCAGTGCTTGAGGAAGGTGGGATGGGCAGACACCCCAGTGCTTGAGGAAGGTGGGATGGGCAGACACATCAGTGCTTGAGGAAGGTGGGATGGGCAGACACCCAGCGCTTGAGGAAGGTGGGATGGGCAGACACACCAGTGCTTGAGGAAGGTGGGATGGGCAGACACACCAGTGCTTGAGGAAGGTTGGATGGGCAGACACACCAGTGCTTGAGGAAGATTAGATGGGCAGACACCCCAGTGCTTGAGGAAGGTGGGATGGGCAGACACTCCAGCGCTTGAGGAAGATTAGATGGGCAGACACCCCAGTGCTTGAGGAAGGTGGGATGGGCAGACACACCCGTGCTTGAGGAAGGTGGGATGGGCAGACACACCAGTGCTTGAGGAAGGTGGGATGGACAGACACACCAGTGCTTGAGGAAGGTGGGATGGGCAGACACTCCAGCGCTTGAGGAAGGTGGGATGGGCAGACACCCCAGTGCTTGAGGAAGATTAGATGGGCAGACACCCCAGTGCTTGAGGAAGGTGGGATGGGCAGACACACCAGTGCTTGAGGAAGGTGGGATGGGCAGACACACCAGTGCTTGAGGAACATGGGATGGGCAGACACCCCAGTGCTTGAGGAAGGTGGGATGGGCAGACACACCAGTGCTTGAGGAACATGGGATGGGCAGACACCCCAGTGCTTGAGGAACATGGGATGGGCAGAGACACCAGTGCTTGAGGAACATGGAATGGGCAGACACACCCGTGCTTGAGGAAGGTGGGATGGGCAGACACACCAGTGCTTGAGGAACATGGGATGGGCAGACACCCCAGTTCTTGAGGAAGGTGGGATGGGCAGACACACCAGTGCTTGAGGAACATGGGATGGGCAGACACCCCAGTGCTTGAGGAACATGGGATGGGCAGAAACACCAGTGCTTGAGGAACATGGGATGGGCAGACACCCCAGTGCTTGAGGAAGGTGGGATGGGCAGACACACCAGTGCTTGAGGAACATGGGATGGGCAGACACCCCAGTGCTTGAGGAACATGGGATGGGCAGACACACCAGTGCTTGAGGAACATGGGATGGGCAGACACCCCAGTGCTTAAGGAAGGTGGGATGGGCAGACACACCAGTGCTGGAGGAACATGGGATGGGCAGACACCCCAGTGCTTGAGGAAGGTGGGATGGGCAGACACACCAGTGCTTGAGGAACATGGGATGGGCAGACACCCCAGTGCTTGAGGAAGGTGGGATGGGCAGACACACCAGTGCTTGAGGAAGGTGGGATGGGCAGACACACTCGTGCTTGAGGAACATGGGATGGGTAGACACACCAGTGCTTGAGGAAGGTGGGATGGGCAGACACACCAGTGCTTGAGGAAGGTGGGATGGGCAGACACACCAGTGCTTGAGGAAGATTGGAATGGCAGACACCCCAGTGCTTGAGGAAGGTGGGATGGGCAGACACACCAATGCTTGAGGAAGGTGGGATGGGCAGACACACCAGTGCTTGAGGAAGATTGGATTGGCAGACACACCAGTGCTTGAGGAAGGTGGGATGGGCAGACACACCAGTGCTTGAGGAAGGTGGGATGGGCAGACACACCAATGCTTGAGGAAGGTGGGATGGGCAGACACACCAGTGCTTGAGGAAGGTGGGATGGGCAGACACACCAGTGCTTGAGGAAGGTGGGATGGGCAGTCACCCCAGTGGTTGAGGAAGGTGGGATGGGCAGACACACCAGTGCTTGAGGAAGGTGGGATGGGCAGACACACCAGTGCTTGAGGAAGGTGGGATGGGCAGACACCCCAGTGCTTGAGGAAGGTGGGATGGGCAGACACCCCAGTGCTTGAGGAAGGTGGGATGGGCAGACACCCCAGTGCTTGAGGAAGGTGGGATGGGCAGACACACCAGTGCTTGAGGAAGGTGGGATGGGCAGACACCCCAGTGCTTGAGGAAGGTGGGATGGGCAGACACACCAGTGCTTGAGGAAGTGGCACATGTCAATGAGCCAGGAAGTGCAACATGCAAACACGTTGCCAGAGGCTTGATAACATCCTTTATCAATGACCAAAACTATTTTAAAATTTAAGGTTTATTTGTTATATATTTACCATTAATAATGTACTTCATTAGGATCTTGTTGAAGACAGTTATTGAAAACAAGAAATAGTAAATGAATGCCAAGGTTATGATGGAAAATTTGTTTATAATTAATCTATATATAACCGCGAGGTCTGCGTTATTTCGTACATATAAATAATGCTTATTATTTAATTATTCTGATGGGTCAACGTCTAAATAATAATAATGTCTTAAGACCTTATACAGCACCTAACACTTGTTTACTAACCGACCGCAGCCGGGAAATGCGACCTTGGCTTGCAGACGGACTGACTGCTGAGACCTGGCAACTGGTCATCTTAGGGGGTATATAAGGCAATGTGTATTATTGCTCCACACACACTCAGCCAAGTAGTCGGTTATCCAGCCTCACTATCTCTTCCTTAAGGTACAGTAGCAATGCTTAGTAATATTAGTAGTTCTATTACATCAATATAGCTCTTATTGAATTATACCTAATATTTCAAGACATAGCTCAATAGACAATATATTTAAGAAATATCGGTATTTATATGAATGTTTATTTTGCAGTGATCTATCAGCCCAGTGCATCAACCCAAGATGAACTTCCTCCGTGCCTTGGTAGTGCTCCTGGTCGTGGTGGTCTCCCTGGCCACGGTCACCAACGCTAGTCCATTATTTGGTCTTTTTGGTGGTCGTCGAGGTCGAGGTGGTCGTTCACGCTCTAGGTCTTCCGGTGTTGGAACCCGGGAGGTCCCAGACCCCTACGCCTACGCCGCCCCACAATTCGCCGGTGCCTTCCCTGTATTCCCCAACTTCGTCACTGGAGTTGGTCGTTGAGACATTCCTGAGAACATCGTGTTTCTCTACGATGTACCAACTGCATAAGTCACTGTGCCGTACGGTGTTCTCTTGACTGAGACTCCGACGAGGCATCAAGGCGCCAACCAGGCCGTCTTAGGCCGCCACTACATGGCACCTGGTCTAGGGGTACCTAGGCCTCCACATGCTTCACCCTGGTGAGTGTGAGTACCAGATGGCCCCACATACCTCATCAACCTGATGAGTGTCAGTGAGGGCCAAATGGCTCCGTTTATGGAGGTACTACACCCCGAGACCAACCTTCCCCACAGGCCGGAAGTGTTGCAGAGTCGAGAGAAAAATCTGTAGATTGTCTCCTGACTGGTGACGAAATCCGACAAATTTTGGCTGTTTATTGAGTTTAGTCACGAGACGAGAGAAGTCGCCCAGTGCGAGTCTTTCGTGTGGCTCATCATCATGTGTGTTTCTGAGAGTGTTTTGCTGCGAGTACACCCAAGTCTGGCTCCCAGCTGACAGTTCACAGCTGCGAGTAGACCCAAGTCTGGCTCCAAGCTGACAGTTCACAGCTGCGAGTAGACCCAAGTCTGGCTCCCAGCTGACAGTGCAGAGCTGTGACCGGACATACGTCTGGCTTCCAGCTGGCTCCTTCAAGCAATGCTTGAAATTTACTTTTATCTGTGATAATTACTTTTCTAATAACATAGAATAATAAGTTAGGCTTTGCTGTTAATAAGAAATAACACTTAATCTTGTAATCTAAATCTTGCAAATGTATAATAAATATTTTTGTACACAAATCACAAATCCCATTTTATATTTATCCTTCATATGACTACAGGTGCCAAGGATATATTCATAGAAAGGTATATCCCTTTACTCGGAGTATATACACCGAGAGTTTATCTTAGTTTTGCTCTACGTGTAGGACAAAAGTATCAAGAAACTCACACAGACTGTTCACTTGCACACTGAATTGTGCCATCCCCGGTAAATTCAACCGTAGTGTGACTGTATGGGTTTATATACAACTCAGCCTCCTGTGTAGATAGTACTTTTTGTAACTATATGGACCATCGTACACACATGGTTGTGATGGACTATTAGATAGTAGAACTAGGTACTATTTTCTTTTATGAGTCCGGAAAAAATCAAGCTAAAAACCAAACTTAAAATATTCCTAGGCAGAATATAACACATAAATGTACTATATTAGGTCTCAGATAGCGTATATTAGGCCTAACAAGGTTAGGTTAGGTTATCTTTGCAATGGTTCAAAAACTTTTCCGGTTTGTACAAATTTAATAGTACCAGTTTCTACTTTCTAATTGTCTTTAACGTCGGAATATGTACTATGGTCCTCATCGTTACTATAAGTACTATCTAAACAGGAGGATGGGCTGTTCTATATGCTAGGAGAGCGGCTAGTGGGAATAAACCCCAAGACTAGTTCCCAGCTGACAGTTTATAGCTGAGAGTAGACCTAAGTCTGGCTCCCAGCTGAGAGTAGACCCAAGTCTGGCTCCCAGCTGGCAGTTTATAGCTGAGAGTAGACCTAAGTCTGGCTCCCAGCTGAGAGTAGACCCAAGTCTGGCTCCCAGCTGGCAGTTTATAGCTGAGAGTAGACCTAATTCTGGCTCCCAGCTGAGAGAAGACCCAAATCTGGCTCCTAGCTGAGAGTAGACCCAAGTCTGGCTCCCAGCTGAGAGAAGACCCAAATCTGGCTCCCAGCTGAGAGCAGACCCAAGTCTGGCTCACAGCTGGCAATTCACAGCAGCGAGTGGACGTCGTCTAGCTCCCAATTGATTTTCCAAGCAACGCTGAAATAATTGAGTTTCACATGCTTTTGCTTTTTTATATATAAAAATAAGTTCAAGCAACGTTTACCATCAGTAACACTGAGACGTCTGTGACTGATCACTTGCACGTCCATGCAATAAATATATGTTAAACCCACCACAGATAATACCGTCTCAATTATTTATAATTTATGGATGAGGTTTTGGTGTGTAGGTATGTCAGGAGAAGCGCCGACACAGATGACAAGGTGAGAGCGCTGATGTCTTAATTTTTGTATAGAACTTGGAAGATGTTTAATCACACACCTCTCAGTAATAAGTCAACTCTCAGCCAAGCGCAGTAAGAATGTCAAGCGCAGTAAGAATGTCAAGCGCAGTAAGAATGTCAAGCGCAGTAAGAATGTCAAGCGCAGTAAGAATGTCAAGCGCAGTAAGAATGTCAAGCGCAGTAAGAATGTCAAGCGCAGCAAGAATGTCAAGCACAATAAGAATGTCAAGCACAATAAGAATGTCAAGCACAATAAGAATGTCAAGCACAATAAGAATGTCAAGCGCAATAAGAATGTCAAGTGCAATAAGAATGTCAAGCACAATAAGAATGTCAAGCGCAATAAGAATGTCAAGCGCAATAAGAATGTCAAGCGCAATAAGAATGTCAAGCACAATAAGAATGTCAAGCGCAATAAGAATGTCAAGCGCAGCAAGAATGTCAAGCGCAGTAAGAATGTCAAGCGCAGTAAGAATGTCAAGCGCAGCAAGAATGTCAAGCGCAGTAAGAATGTCAAGCGCAGCAAGAATGTCAAGCGCAGTAAGAATGTCAAGCGCAGCAAGAATGTCAAGCGCAGTAAGAATGTCAAGCGCAGTAAGAATGTCAAGCGCAATAAGAATGTCAAGCACAATAAGAATGTCAAGTGCAATAAGAATGTCAAGCACAATAAGAATGTCAAGCACAATAAGAATGTCAAGCACAATAAGAATGTCAAGTGCAATAAGAATGTCAAGTGCAATAAGAATGTCAAGCACAATAAGAATGTCAAGCGCAATAAGAATGTCAAGCGCAATAAGAATGTCAAGCGCAATAAGAATGTCAAGCACAATAAGAATGTCAAGTGCAATAAGAATGTCAAGCACAATAAGAATGTCAAGTGCAATAAGAATGTCGAGCACAATAAGAATGTCAAGCGCAATAAGAATGTCAAGCACAATAAGAATGTCAAGCGCAGCAAGAATGTCAAGCACAACAAGAATGTCAAGCGCAATAAGAATGTCAAGCGCAATAAGAATGTCAAGCGCAGCAAGAATGTCAAGCGCAGCAAGAATGTCAAGCACAACAAGAATGTCAAGCGCAATAAGAATGTCAAGCACAATAAGAATGTCAAGTGCAATAAGAATGTCAAGCACAATAAGAATGTCAAGCACAATAAGAATGTCAAGCACAATAAGAATGTCAAGCGCAGCAAGAATGTCAAGCGCAGCAAGAATGTCAAGCACAACAAGAATGTCAAGCACAATAAGAATGTCAAGCACAATAAGAATGTCAAGTGCAATAAGAATGTCGAGCACAATAAGAATGTCAAGCACAATAAGAATGTCAAGCGCAATAAGAATGTCAAGCGCAATAAGAATGTCAAACGCAGCAAGAATGTCAAGCACAATAAGAATGTCAAGCGCAATAAGAATGTCAAGCGCAATAAGAATGTCAAACGCAGCAAGAATGTCAAGCGCAGCAAGAATGTCAAGCACAATAAGAATGTCAAGCACAATAAGAATGTCAAGCGCAGCAAGAATGTCAAGCACAATAAGAATGTCAAGCGCAATAAGAATGTCAAGCGCAGCAAGAATGTCAAGCACAATAAGAATGTCAAGCGCAATAAGAATGTCAAACGCAGCAAGAATGTCAAGCGCAGTAAGAATGTCAAGCGCAGCAAGAATGTCAAGCACAATAAGAATGTCAAGCGCAGCAAGAATGTCAAGCACAATAAGAATGTCAAGCGCAATAAGAATGTCAAGCACAATAAGAATGTCAAGCACAATAAGAATGTCAAGCGCAGCAAGAATGTCAAGCACAATAAGAATGTCAAGCGCAATAAGAATGTCAAGCGCAATAAGAATGTCAAGCGCAGCAAGAATGTCAAGCGCAGTAAGAATGTCAAGCACAATAAGAATGTCAAGCGCAATAAGAATGTCAAGCGCAGCAAGAATGTCAAGCGCAGTAAGAATGTCAAGCGCAATAAGAATGTCAAACGCAATAAGAATGTCAAGCGCAGCAAGAATGTCAAGCGCAGTAAGAATGTCAAGCGCAGCAAGAATGTCAAGCGCAATAAGAATGTCAAGCGCAATAAGAATGTCAAGTGCAATAAGAATGTCAAGCGCAGCAAGAATGTCAAGCACAATAAGAATGTCAAGCGCAATAAGAATGTCAAGCACAATAAGAATGTCAAGCGCAATAAGAATGTCAAGCGCAATAAGAATGTCAAGCGCAATAAGAATGTCAAGCGCAATAAGAATGTCAAGTGCAATAAGAATGTCAAGCGCAGCAAGAATGTCAAGCACAATAAGAATGTCAAGCGCAATAAGAATGTCAAGCGCAGCAAGAATGTCAAGCACAATAAGAATGTCAAGCGCAATAAGAATGTCAAGCGCAATAAGAATGTCAAGCGCAGTAAGAATGTCAAGCACAATAAGAATGTCAAGCGCAGTAAGAATTTCAAGCGCAGCAAGAATGTCAAGCACAATAAGAATGTCAAGCGCAATAAGAATGTCAAGCGCAATAAGAATGTCAAGCGCAATAAGAATGTCAAGCGCAATAAGAATGTCAAGCGCAGTAAGAATGCCAAGCGCAGTAAGAATGTCAAGCGCAGTAAGAATGTCAAGCGCAATAAGAATGTCAAGTGCAATAAGAATGTCAAGCGCAATAAGAATGTCAAGCGCAATAAGAATGTCAAGCGCAATAAGAATGTCAAGTGCAATAAGAATGTCAAGCACAATAAGAATGTCAAGCGCAATAAGAATGTCAAGCGCAATAAGAATGTCAAGCGCAATAAGAATGTCAAGCGCAATAAGAATGTCAAGCGCAATAAGAATGTCAAGCGCAATAAGAATGTCAAGCGCAATAAGAATGTCAAGCGCAGCAAGAATGTCAAGCACAATAAGAATGTCAAGCGCAATAAGAATGTCAAGCGCAATAAGAATGTCAAGCGCAATAAGAATGTCAAGCGCAATAAGAATGTCAAGCGCAATAAGAATGTCAAGCGCAGCAAGAATGTCAAGCACAATAAGAATGTCAAGCGCAGTAAGAATGCCAAGCGCAGTAAGAATGTCAAGCGCAGTAAGAATGTCAAGCGCAATAAGAATGTCAAGTGCAATAAGAATGTCAAGCGCAATAAGAATGTCAAGCGCAATAAGAATGTCAAGCGCAATAAGAATGTCAAGTGCAATAAGAATGTCAAGCACAATAAGAATGTCAAGCGCAATAAGAATGTCAAGCGCAATAAGAATGTCAAGCACAGTAAGAATGTCAAGTGCAATAAGAATGTCAAGCGCAATAAGAATGTCAAGCGCAATAAGAATGTCAAGCACAATAAGAATGTCAAGCGCAATAAGAATGTCGAGCGCAATAAGAATGTCAAGCGTAATAAGAATGTCAAGCGCAATAAGAATGCCAAGCGCAATAAGAATGCCAAGCGCAATAAGAATGTCAAGCGCAATAAGAATGTCAAGCGCAATAAGAATGCCAAGCGCAATAAGAATGCCAAGCGCAATAAGAATGTCGAGCGCAATAAGAATGCCAAGTGCAATAAGAATGTCGAGTGCAATAAGAATGTCAAGCGCAATAAGAATGTCAAGCACAGTAAGAATGTCAAGTGCAATAAGAATGTCAAGCGCAATAAGAATGTCAAGCGCAATAAGAATGTCAAGCACAATAAGAATGTCAAGCGCAATAAGAATGTCGAGCGCAATAAGAATGTCAAGCGCAATAAGAATGTCAAGCGCAATAAGAATGTCAAG